CTCCTGATCTTCGCAGTCCAGCTCCTTCAGCGTGGTGATCCACCCGCTCTCGCCGTCGATGGTGAAGAGCCCGCGGAGGTTGCCAGACTCTGCTTCCAGACTGTAGGTCACCTGCCCATCACTTCCCATGTCCTGGTCGTTAGCTGTCACTTGAATGACCGTGGTTCCTGAAGGCATGTTCTCCATGACAAAAGCTTTGTAGGGGTCTGCCTCAAAGACAGGTCTGTTGTCGTTGACATCCTGCACTTGGATGTTCACAGAGACCAGAGAGACCAGCTCAGTCTCCAGATGTGAGCAGTGAGCCATAACATCAACCTGGTACCACTTAGTGGTCTCATGGTCCACGGGCTTTTTGATTTTCAAAACCCCTGTTTGTTCATCCAGCGTGAACACCTCATCCTTGTTACTTTCCGTAGTGGTTCCCTTCACCAGGCTGTATATAATGGGATCCTCTGCAAAAGCTTTCACTGACCCTATTTCTGATCCCTCTGGAAGATCCTCAGATGCAGAGAATGTATAAAGGGGCTCAGAAAACCTTGGCAATGTCACTTCCCTGGGGACAATCTGGAGATTCACTGGGACAATGGAGTTCCAGTGAGGGGGTCTGCCATCTTCAGCTTTCACCTTGAAATTAAAGGCTCTGTTTTCTAAACCAATAAGGCTCTCCTTGACCTTAACAACCCCTGTGGCAGCATTGATCTCCACAAGGTCTTCTGCCACATCTTCAACAGAGTCAACAGAATAAATGACATCTGCATTTGCACCTTCATCAGCATCGTAAGCAAGTACCTGGATGACAGGGGAACCTTTGCTTACGTTGGACTGGATGGACAGTGTGTATTCAGAGGCTTTGAACAGAGGTGGGTTGTCATTCTCATCTGTAAGGATTATTTTGACCGTGCAGAAGGCCACCTTCCCACCCCCATCCTTGGCCATTACTTTAATGGCAATGACTCTTTCTGTTGAATTTTCTCTGTCCAGCTTTTGCAGTGTGGAAATACAGCCTTTATTGTCTATGGAGAACTTCTCATGGGCAAGTTTGTTTATGATGGTATAGTCTATGGTGCCATATGGGCCACCATCTGGGTCAATTGCCACCAGCTCAATCACTTTGGTACCTATCTCAGCATTTTCTGCCAGCTCTGCCTCGTACACATTCTGCCGAAAAGAGGGGCTGTATTTGTTGGCATTTGTGGTGTTGATATACACAGGCACAGTGCTCTTGAAAACTCCATCTGAAGCAGAAACCCTGAGATTGTAGGACGGCTCCAAGTCCTTTTTGCAGCGGTTGAACATGGATATTATTCCAGAAGTGCTGTTGATGGCAAAATGCCTGTTGTCGTTGCCCGAGAGTATCACATATTCCAGCCGGGTGGTGTCCCCACTGTCGGGGTCCAGGGCCTGGACTTTGATCACGATGTGCCCACACGTAGCCATTTCACTGACCTTGGCTTCATACTGAAGCTGGCTGAACTCAGGGGGATTGTCATTGATGTCTGTCACATCTACAATCACCAGGGCATCACTACTAAGTGGAGGCATCCCATGATCTGCAGCTCTTACTTTCAGGCGGAACTGTTGATTCGTTTCATAGTCAAGTGCTTGAGCTGTTGCTATTTGCCCTGTGCTGGCATCAATATTAAAGAACTTGGTAGCATCTGAACCATCATCCACGATCTGATAGGAGACCACTTTGTTTCTGCCAGAATCGTTATCAGAGGCAAAGAGTTGGACAACAGGGGTCTGTGCTGGCAAACTCTCCGAGACAGACGCCGTGTAGATGATCTGAGAAAATATGGGGGGATTGTCATTAATGTCCTCCACCTCAACCTCCACTCTGGCTTCTGAGAAGGATCCCAGCGCTGTGTCTGTGGCTCTAACAGTGAACATGTGTTTGGTCTCTAGCTCATAGTCCAGCTGGCCTGTGACAGTAAGGACACCAGTTTTGAAGTCGGTGTTGAAGAGTTTCAGGGAGTCTTCTTCCACAATGTTGTAGATGAGGCGCAAGCCTTCAGGGCTGCGAGCCTGTATGTGGAGGATAGATGTGTATGGGGGGATGTTTTCTGGCACCTTCACTCGGTAGTACAAACTTTGGAACATAGGGTTGGATTTGTTCCTCACACTGATCACAACCTCCTCTTCAGCGCGCAGGGGAGGCTCTCCTTTGTCCTTAGCAATGACTCGGAGGTTGTATTTATTTAAAGCTTGATAATCAAGAGGCTTCTTAAGGGAGATGTCTCCTAGGTAAGGGTCAATCTGAAAGTATTTGTAGTCCTCTGCAAATGAGTAGGTAACAGCTCCATTATCCCCTATGTCTTTGTCTGTTGCTGACACCTGGAAAAGCACATCACCTGGCTCCGTGCCGTCCTGCACCGAGGTGTAATATGGCACATTCTCAAACTGTGGTGGGTTGTCATTGACATCCTCTACATAAACCTTGACTGTGGCTTGGGACACTCTTGGTGGTTTCCTGTTGTCCTTCACTTCCACAGCCACCTCGTGCATGTCTTGCATTTCGCGGTCAAATTTCACACCCTTGGTCTGAAGAACTCCCGAGGCCTGGATCATCTTGAATCTTTCCTTTCCATTCAAAAGTGAATAGGAAAGGGGTTCATTCAGCTGATATCCCTTGACCCCAAGAATGGTTAGAGTCTTCTCATCTGTAGAGTTCTCCATCACAGTAGCTGTATACACGTCTTGATCAAATTTCAAGCCAGTACCTTGTGCCTGAGTTAAGTTTAGCTTAACCAGAGCAGTACTCTTATATAACCCATCACCAGCTCTGACCACAAGTTCATGATAGCTCCTCAGGCCAGTAGCATTAAGAATGGAGATAAGACCTGTGAGAGGATGAATATAGAAAGCATTATCAAGGTTCCCTTCCATGATGCTGTAGGTCACCTCCGAATCTGCATCTTTTGCCTGCACCGACAAAAGCTCCATCCCTGGGTGGGCAGGTAGCAAGACAGAAAGATCGTAAGTGTCTTTCAGAAAGACTGGAGGTGAATCATTCACATCTTTAACGTGGATTGTGACCTTGGCGGGCTTGGATGCAAATAAGTTGGGACTTCCACTGTCGTGCACGTGTACACTGAAGTGGAAAACTGGGGTGAGCTCATAGTCTATATCAGCACGACTGGTCAGCGTCCCTGTGCTGGGATCTACGGTGAAATATTTCAGTGCCTCTGGTTCCAAAATCTCATAGACCAGCAGAGCATTGGAGTCTTGATCAGCATCCGTTGCACAGGTCACGAGGGGAGCATTGCTCTTATCCAGAACCATGCTTTGTGATGGAGCATTCTCCATGATCCAGCCGACGAAGGCAGGCTTAACGAAGACGGGCGCATTGTCGTTCTCATCTATGACATAGACAAGTACCACTGTGTCCATAAAAGCTCCAGCCATGTTGGTGCCACGGACCTTCAGCTGGTAAAAAGACACCTGCTCAAAATCTAAGCTCTTCTGAGTGGAAATAAGGCCTGACTGATAGTTCATGGAGAACACTCCGTCTTCATTTCCATCTTTTATTTCATAGCTGACTGGTGACAAGCTCGTGGCTGAAACCTGGATCAGAGGAGAGCCAATAGCAGTGGATTCACTGATCTCTGTGATGTACTCAGTCTCCGGAAATTTTGGAGGGGTTCGATCAGAGGGTCTAATGTGGACATGTACTGTAGCAGAATCTTTAAGCTGAGGGAACCCCTGATCTTCTGCTTTTACAATAAGAGTAAATCGGTCCTGCCTGGATGGATCCAGTTTCTGGGCAACTGTAATAATTCCAGAATACGGGTCAATGCTAAAGAAGCCTTCTCCATTACCTGCAAGAAGAGAAATTACAAAGTGAAGAATGCAGACACCCTACTGGTTTTGGTTTTCTGAACCTCTTTTCCATAGATTCTGCTGATTTCAGACCTAGTTAACATCTGTTTCTTTCACTGGGAGAAATTAATTAATTTCTAAATCATTTTAATTATAAGAACAATGAACCCATTGAGATCCATGAGCTAACTTTTGAATCAATCAAAATGTAAATTGGAGATAAATACCCTTCTAATTTAGGCATATTTAGTGGTGGCAGAGCATGTGCTTGAAGCTTTTGCCTCGTGTGCAGAACATGGTAGCACAGACAGTACTAGTTCCTTCAAGCCCTGTCATGCTTGTAATTACCAGTGCTTCAGGAGCAATTAAATTCCTCAGTCCTTGATCTAAATTGCAGTGAGAAAGATGGAGCAAAGGATGGCTTGTCTCCTGCAAAGAATTTACCAGCTAAACAGGCAGTGTGGCACAGACATAAATACTTCAGTTTTAACCTTTAAAGTGAATGATAAAATACTTGCCCACTGAACTTGCACGACCCAAAACCACCAACAGCCAATGCTGAGAGGGTGCTCACTGTTCTTTGAAGATGTATTTCTTAGTAGATATGATGGAACTGATGATGACTGTTGTGGGGATTGGAGTACTTTTGCCTAAAAACTGAACAGGGATCCCTCCCTCAGTTCCCATGGACAAAAGGAGCAGATTTTAGGTTGTCCTAACTCATCCAGTCACTTTTTTTTTTTTTTTAGGCCAGTGACTCAACATTAGGCTGTCTTCTTAAAAAAGGATGCTAATATTCCATAACATGGAAACTACCTGCCCACTCTAGATTTTCTCTGAATAGAAAGAAAATCAAATTTTGAAACTGTGCAGCCATTTACTGGTCTTTGCAACAGCTACAGAAAGCTGGTCAAGTGGCCACCAGTTGGAGCATGGAAATACAGGCGTGATCAAAGCCTAAACTGTCCTGTTGCAGGGCTCTCACCTGCCTGAAGGGAGTAGTGGATTTCAGCATTAGCTCCTTGGTCCTGATCAAGGGCTCTGACTTGTATAACCTCTGTGCCCACCACTGCTGAGTCCAGCACTTCTGCTTCATAGTGGATGCTGCTGAACTGCGGAGGGTGGAGGTTGCAGCTCTCCACACGGACGATGACTCGAACGAAGTTCCGCTTGATGGGGACCTCCTGGTCTCGCACCTGAACGACAGAGGAAGAGCAGGCACAGTCACACTCGGGGAGAAGGCAGCCTTGCCTGCACCAGCTTCCAAGCAACTCATCAGGACTCCTACACGGGTGGGTGTTTTGCAGTGGTCCTAACCCCTTGGGTGGGAATGAGCCTCTAAGTTTCAGCACCAAAGCTCAGCCCTGAACTTGAAAACAAACATTAACAACAATTCACAGTGTTTTCTCTTATAAGAATCCAGTGGCCTTCCAGTGAAATTGGCAGGTGGTTAGAGAAGAGGAGGGTGTTACCTAGATTTAGCCATATAGTAAAGGTTAACACCCTGCTTTCCTCTTCCTTATTGTTCTGGACAAATCCTCCCTCAAAGACTAGAACCGGTTTTAATTTCTCCAGTGACCCATATTTCCCAGCCAAGCTGGTGGACTCAGCAGGGCTTGGTCAGGACTCACCATCACTGTGAGGGTGTGCTGAGGCATGGGCTGGGAGCTGAAGCCTTCTGCTGTTGTGAGGACTCCGCTGCTTGGATCCAGCTGGAAAAGCCTTGTGCTTTTGGGGTCCACGCTGCCATGGATGGTGTAGATGAGCCCCTTTCCTTTGTCCTTGTCTGTTGCACTGACTCGAAGGATTTCTCTCCCCGGGGGGGTATCTTCAGGAATCCCCTCCTCATAATGGCTTTCCAGGAACTGGGGACGGTGCTGGTTGATGTCAATCACGTGGATAAACGCCTGTGTGGGAAACAGCACAGTGAGAGCAGCAAAAACACAGCAGCAGCCATGTAAAATCTAAGCTACCAATCCCTCTTGGGTGTAGCCATTCTCTGAGTCCTGTAACCGTCACAGCTTTCCAGCTCTTGGGGCTTTGCCATCCATGGTGACTGGGAACCCTTTTGTCCTTCTCCTCCAAAGAACTCCTGCTGTGCCTTCCCTTCGTGTTTTCCAGTTTGCTTCCCCTCATTGCTTTTTATATCTCCAATCTGGCAAGCCACTCAGACTGAACGTGCCTGCACTTGGCACATGGGGAAACTGTCACAGCTTGCCATGAGGAGCAGCAGTGGCTCAGCCACGGTGCCAGCTCTGCTGGCCGGTGCCTCCACAGCAACCCCCATTAACTGCACACCAGAAAGATGACAGAAGGGGGATGTTTGGTAAAAGGAGGGAGGGCTGGCCTACCTCATGCATGTGGAGAAGCAAAATTTGTGTTCTACGTTTTTTAGCCAAGTCTTCCCCTGTGCAGTCAGCAGCACCCCCCTGTGAATGGCTGCCTGAATCCTGCTGGCAAAGGCACAGGATTTTCTGTTTAGCCTCCTACCCTGACGTCCCTGACCCCCCCTACTGATGTGCTCCCTGCATCTTAGGAAGTCCCAACCAAGTGTAATAATTTGCTTCCTGTAGCAAACCCGAGCATGCCACTGGGGTTTTGCACGAGCAGGTTTCTTGACATCTGCTAGCGGCCTTGAGTGCCAAAATAAACGTAGGGATGAGATGCAAGGTGGCAGGGAATGCACACCAGGCAAGGTGGGGCTCTGTTTGTTTATTTGGAGCAATACCTGAAGATAGTTGAGATAAGTGGCCATCCGTTAGCATTTCACAGGAATGACAGTGTTCCTCACTCATCATCCCCTGCAGTGAATTTCCCATGATAAGCCTCACTGACAGGTGATTCACATTCTAGGTCTTCCTGTGCAGTGAGGGCTGGAATTTTGGCTGCTGCTTATGTGTGGAGAGAACGGTTGGTGGAAGATGAAGGCCTGAACATCCCTCCTTGGGGCAGGTAAAAATGGGCAAATCTCATTACTTTAACTGGGGCTCAGGGACATGGCTGAGAGCAAAGTGCCTCCTTTCATCAGCACTTCCTTTCTCAAAGGACACAGCATCTCTTCAGCTGCCCCACTCACTCCCTGGGCCTGACCTCACCTCTTGCAAATGCATCTGTGCTGCCTTTACTTTGGCTCACAAGTCCCAGGAACACCCCTTGACATGGGACCATGGACCCAAGCCTGATCTAACTGCGTACACATTTCCCTTATGTCTTAACATGTTGTCCCAGACATGTTACTAGTTCAGACTGAGCAGCTGAGAGCAAGCTGAGGTCTGAGTGTGTGAATTGCCACTCCAGCCTGGCTGGTGGTGTAAACGTGTCCTCGTGTGCTGGCTGTGGTCAGCAGGAAAGACCCAGGCTATCCTAGACCAGCTGTGTTTCCAAGAACATAAAAACAATCTTAGGTTGGTATTAGGAAAGACTTGGGTCACTGTGCAATGTAAAACCACAGTGTAAGGAGATTCTTGTGCCTTGCACCTGATCCAGAGCTCGTCAGACTCAGAAGAAAGATTCCCTTTGGCATGTACTCCCTCTCAGTGGGGTGTCAACCAAAGAGAAAAACATTACCTGAGTTTTGATTGTACTGGACCCATCAGTGACTTCTACTGTCAGGTTATAGCTTGACTTCTTCCTTGCATCAAGGGGTCTTGCAATGACCATGCTGCCTGTACTCTTTTCAATGTCAAAATCCATGTCATCATCACCACCTAGGATAAGGGAGAAATGAAAAAAGGAAAGAGGAGGGCAGTTAGAAGTCAGCTTTCTGTCTGGAGCAAGCTCCAGGTGCTGGCGGCCTCTGCAGGGGAAGGGATTCCAGGAGCTGCTGGAGACCTAAAGGACGAGGATGTGACCCTACACGAATCACACAAGGAGCTCATGCCCAGCCACAAATAAGTGAATACCATGCAACATGCCTTGAAGGGGGCTGTGCAGGGACTCGCTCTCGCTGGACCTTTTTGGCCATGGCTGGATTGAGGACACTGCTATAGGGGAGGTTTCTCCCAAATCCAGAAACTTAATACAACATGCGATAGATGGACATAGGAGATAGTGAGGACAAGGAGAAGCTGGACAAAGAGGTTGTCACAGATGGTGACAAAGGAGTAGAAACGTAAGGTGAGTGGAATCAGAAAAAATGAGAAGAGGAAAGGATGCACTTATGCATACGATGTCCTGGTTAGGTTGGCAACAGGCAAATTTGAGCATTAATTCATTTGCATAAGGTCTCCAGCTACGCAGCATCACTGGTTTAGCATGGACCAGGGACCTGCTGGGCAGAACAGTGCTCTTGCTGGCTTCCAATTCATGGTCACACTGTGGGCACGTCAGTGATGGTCTTCATTGCTGTGGCTGGGAGCCTGTGAGCTCCCTGAAGAAGCCCAGTATTGGAACAGTTGGAGAGGCAGACGGTGCTTCCAGGGTGAGCAGAGCCTGGTGCCTCCAACCCAGATGGCTGTGCAGTGCTGGGAACTGCAGGCCTGAGCAGCTCAGCAGCAGAAGGCTGTCCCTCACCCTACTGCTGTTCAGCCCTGGCATGGCAGCTCCTTTCTCATGCCTCACTTGCTGGCAGCCTGTTGGGCTTCCATTGCATGTGAAGCATTGCTACTCTGTTCTGAGATACAGAGAGGTTCAAAGCTTTCTGCCATTTATCCCAGGTCTTCTCCCTTCCTGGCTAGTGGATGCTCTGGATTCTGCTTTACTCTCTTAGTAGCTGGCAAAATCTTCACTGGCTGTTAAATTATGTATCTTCCCTTGCTGGAGGAATGCAGTGGTCACTAGCCATCTGGACCACTGCTTTCCTGCTGGGAAGGAGACAGGAAGAAGCAGAGATAGAGGAAGAGAGACCCACAGATGCCTTTCCATGAGAAAAGAGAGAAGAGCTCACTGTGCACAGTGCCAGATGGAAAGAAGCAGCCAAGGAAAGGAAAGAGATGAAGAAAAGTTGTTGCATTGCCAGAGTTTTGCAGACCATCAATCCCAGTGATTAAGTCTTTGAGGACTGGGAGAGATTTTGAATGAGGTGTTGAGGGCTCTTGTTGCTCTGCATCACCCGTTTGGTTGCCAGGTACTGCGATGCTTTCCTTTCCTAGCAGGGAAAATGAAATACTGTCCTTTCCCACCAGTACAGAAACCAAGAGAGCCTTGAGCAGCACTTGGTGCACTGGGAACTGACAAAAATGAGGTCAAGCCATGCTCCAGCACTCAGCTGGGAGACGATGGGAGAACATTCCGAGGAATACACTGTTAATTCTGCAAACCCAAGCAGACACTAATAATGACAGATAAACTTTTCACTGATGTTGTCTGATCCCTGTAGCATTGTATCTCGTTGCTTAATTGTATCTATACACCATTATCCCTGCCCTAACACAGTAACGGGAAAAACTATTTCAGTCACCCAACTAAGGCTTTGTCTGACGAGGGCAGGCCCTGCAGGCAGTGCCAGGGAAAGGCTGTGAAAGGCAGATTGGGGCACCACTTCAAAACACCAAATTACATGAGTGAAATTGGCCCTCATTGGTAGGACCAGTTCTGCTCACACACCGCCTGCTGAGTCCCCTGGGGTGACAGCCCACGTCCCCTCTGCCATTGTGTGTCTTAGAGGAGGCCCTGGAGCTTCATGTTTCATATCTAAGTCATCCCTGACTTAGGTGAGGTGGAAGGGAGAGACCCACCAGTTGGGGCAGACCAGGTCTTTGGGGAATTCTTCCCTCTCTGCTACTTGCTCAAAACTCAGCATGGAGGGAAAGACTGGGGTTGTCTGGAACACCCAGCCAGACACTGGATCCTCACAGGTAGCTTTAGCAAAATCAACAGTGTCACTCAATTCCCAGGAGGAGCTGGGACTGGCAGGCTCCTCACGCGACATCAGAGAACACCTCAAACACTGGCAAGTTCCAGAACGCCACTAAAGAAGTGTGTTAAGTAATTGCACTTGGCACCGGAGCCCTTGGACGGGCAGCTTTGTCTATGGCTGTTTAAGCATTCTGGTGCCTGTGAGAAAGCTCTCCCTGTAGCTCACCTACACCTAAAGCAAACAACGTCATTAACTCGGGCATGCGAGCGCTGAAAGCCGAGGGAGCCGGGGCAAACGCTCCCAGACACCGCTGCCCCGCTGCAGTTCCCGCGTCTCACCCGTGATATTAAACCACACTTGGCTGGGGCCCATCTCAACGCTGATCACTCCCACCATATGGTTTACGGGATCTGTTTCCATCACGGCGAAGTTGAAATGGGGTTCATCAAAAGCCAGCAGCTCCGAGGAGGGGCCGGGCCGGGCGACCCAGCTGATGTGAAGCCGCACGTGGGAGGAGAGCGGTGGGCTGCCGCCGTCCGTCGCCTTGACCTGCCGGGAAACGCACATGCAGTCAGGGAGAAGGTTGGTGTAGTCCATGGGAGCCCCACGGGAAACTTCTTCTCCCACTCACCAGGAGTTTCAGGTCCGAGTGTTCCCAAAATCCCACAAAACAATTCCTGAGCCAGTGGTCTGTGCTCTGGCTGCTTCCAAGGTAGAGCCGTGCAACCCAAATTCCCCTTGACCGTCAAGTAAATCTGCCAAGCTCTATCCACAGCAGAGACTTGGATGACAAGCCTTGCTGCAAGGACCTGAAGACTGTGGGAGAGCTTTTAATCTTTAAGCCCCATGGCCTGATCAGACTGTCAAAGACATGATGAAACCCAAAGACTGTTCAGGTTTGGGTCCACATCCATACGGGATCATCTCTGAGAGTTGGACTCTAGTTGGACAGTTAATTTTAAATTTATTGACCATTTTTTATAGCTTCCTACCTTCTGCATTTCCCATCATTCCCTCTCAGTTTCTCTCCCTGTAACCCATTTGCCTCATTCAAGCTGTCTTCCCACTGCTGCATTTTCTCTCTCTCTTTTGCTTTTCTGTATTTTCTGTTTCTGCACCCTTTTCCCTCTTTCCCTCTCCACCCACCTCTTCCCACCATCTCCGTTTCCCTCCCCTCTCACCGTGAGTATGTTGTATTCAGAGGCAGGGAAAGCTTTCCTGGAGAAGACTGTGCCGGTGGTGGGGTTGATGGTGAATACCCCCTCCTCCTCCTCCTCGATGGTGTAGGTGATCTGGCTGTTCTGGCCCTGGTCCTGGTCCGAAGCAATCAGCCTGTAGACCGGCAGTGGTGTCTCTGAGGCCTCTCTCTCAGGGAGCTGCACCATGAAGAGCTTGTGGGGGAAACTGGGAGGATTGTCATTGGCATCCAGGACTTGTATCACAACTCTGCTGGTGGACTTCAGGGCTGGCTCTCCATTGTCAGAAACAGCCACCTGTCAGCAAGCAAAGGGAGTAGGTGACAGAGCTCCCTGATGTGACCTAGAATGTGAGCCAGCCTTCATCCTGACGGGCAACAACTCAGCTAGGGGGTTTGTGTGGGTCTGCATTGGTACCCCAACATTTTCAGAGGTTCTGCTCCTCTCTGCAGGGTAAAACTCGGTGGCTGCAGCTGGCACTGTGCAAGGCTTGTCCATGCACAAGGAGATAAGTTTGCAGGGCTCCTGCCTGCAGCTGCTCTGGGCAGTGGGTCAGGTTTGTCATTAGGGATCACTAGGCTGAAAATGTTTGTATCGCCATGCCTTGGCAAGTTATCACTCTTCCTCACTCTGCTGTGCCTGTGCACGCTCCCAGCATGTTGTATTGCAGAGAGAAATGCATTATCCTCCATCAGAGAAACGTATTATCCCTCTATCACCCTGACAGACTGAAACACCTCCAGATTCTGCTAGTGGGAACACACATAGCCTGGAGCAGCTGAGGATGGAGGCCAGTGACCAAAGCTACACAGCAATTCTGATACAATGAGATAAATGAGGGTGGATTTCTCTGGCTTGCTCTTTCCCCCGTAACTTACTATTCATCCTGCTAGAGGACAGTTCCAGTCCTCTTCCTGCATTCCCACAGCTTCCAGAACAGGACTTTTGCTTCAGTCTTC